GCAAAATTTCATTCATTTAGAAAGGGAGAAAGAGCAGAAGAGAAGTTGAGTCCACAGACACAAGCTGAGAGCATTAGTGCTGTTAAGCACTGTGGCTGAAGGAGAATGAAAGATATCTTTCCTCAGACGTTACAAGGAGAACTAAGAAAGAACAGACAAATTTGCTTAAAAGCACGGGCTGGATTACTTAATGCAAGAAAGAAATGTCATGCCCACACTCAGGAGGCTGAGGCAGGATTACCCCTAGTTAAGGCCTGCCTCAACTTCTCAAAAAGACAAAAAAAAAAAAAATTTTAGAAACTGGGTATGGTAGGCATGCTTGCAATCTCTGCACTCCAGAATCTCACACTCAGAAAGAAGGCTAAGGTAGGAAGATCTCCAGGATTTCAACTCCACCCTGCTACAAAGTGAGATCTTATCTCAAAGAATAAATAAAAAATCCCACTGAGCATAGTGGCATGGGCCTATAATCCTAGCTACCAGGAGGGAGGCTGAGGTAGGATTGTAAATTTCCAGGCAATTTAGCAAGACAGTTTCAAAGTAAGATACAAAGAGCTGGAGCTGATCACTGCCTGGGTTCGATCCCCACTACTACCCAAACCAGAAATCCCCCTATTAAGGCAAATTCTGATGGGTGTTTCTTCTTGATTCTCTCTTGTAGCACTGCCTTTTGTTTCCTCTCAACATCAGATTTCCCCTGAATTTCAGACAAAGCAGCAAACAGAAATGAAAAAGCAAACTTAAAAGAATTAGAGGAGTCCACATTCTCTAAAGAGTGGCTTGCTAAGACTTGTACGGTAAATTTTAGCTCAGTTAGAGAGAGCTAACATGAGGTCTAGGGATTCCTTGTTCTTTTCATAATGAAGACAAAAGCTGAAGAGTCAAAAGATGCCTCAGAGCAGACAGACACAAGGATAATGGACAAAAGCAAGGTGACTGGATCAGAAGCGAGTTCCGTGGACCAGTGTAACAGGAGGAACAGAATTAGGCAAGATTGTTGGATTCTAAACTAAGGTTCCTCGTCTCAATCACTGAATACAAAAGAATTTTTAAGTATTCACTTTCTTACTTCTTTTTTTTTTTGTTTTGTTTTGTTTTTTTTTTTTTTTTTTTAAAAAGCCTACAGCACCCGGTATTCCCAGGCGGTCTCCCATCCAAGTACTAACCAGGCCCGACCCTGCTTAGCTTCCGAGATCAGACGAGATCGGGCGCGTTCAGGGTGGTATGGCCGTAGACTCACTTTCTTACTTCTAAGGCTGGCCCAGGCTAATGCCACAGAGAAACTGAACCATTACACACAATGAATACCATGGGATGCCAGGGCTTCATGCTAAGCCCAAAGGATAAAAGCTGAAAAGGTGGGAAAAATATATTCCTATTTGAGGGCTCTAAATGAAATTAAAAAGAAAAAAACCTGTATGGTAGCACAACCCTGTTATCATCGCACTCTGGGAGGCTGAGGCAGGAAGAGCTCAAGTTCAAGTCCAACCTAGGCAACTCAGTGACTTAGCAAGACCCTGTCTCAAAAGTGAAGCTCTCTCTTATTGCTTTTGCTGTCTTCCACTGCCATGTATGGTTGTCCCTTTGCTGTGTGCCACCTGGCCTTGGAACCAACTATGGACTGAAAATCTACAAACTGTGAGCCAAATAAACCTTTCCTCCTTAAAATAAATAGGTCAGGCATGCTAGCACACACCTGTAATCCCAGCATCAGGAGGCCGAGGCAGAAAGCTCCCTCCACATTTGAGCTCAACCTAGACTATATAGCAATACTTTATCTCAAAAAAAAAGGAAAAAAGGCTGGTCCGAAGGTAGTGAGTTATCTCAATTGATTGTTCACAGTCAGTACAGATTGAACTCCTTGTTCTACTCTTTCCCCGCTTCTCACTACTGCACGTGACTAGTCTAAAAAAAAAAAGCCATGGCCAGGCATGGTGGTACACACCTATAATCCCAACACTCAGGAGGCTGAGGCAGACTGAGGCTGAGAAGGCTAATCATCATGAGTTAGTGACCAGCCTGGGCTACATAGTGACTCTGTCAAAAAAAAAAAAAAAAAAAAAAAAAAAGGAAAGAAAAGAAAATGAAAGAAAGAAAAGAAATTAAAAGCAGGCAGTTTCATTAAATTGTTCAACCAGCCCAGAACCTGCAATTCTCCGGCATCAGCTTCTAAATTATGGGAGTACACACATTTGCCACCACACCCAGGTCAGTATGAGTTGGTTCGGTTTGATTTTTGCAGTACTGGGGACTGAATCTAGGGCCTTTGCCCAAAGCTAAATCATCAACCTTTTACATTGTTTATTTTAGGATAAGGTCTCACAAAACTGTTTAACTGCCCAGGCTGGGACTGAGTTTAAAATTCTCATGCCTCCCAGAGGGCTGAAATTACAGACATGCGCCACCACTTAGCTTCAGTACAGGATTGACTGACTGATTGACTGATTGCTTTTGAGACAAAGTTTTGCTATTGCAGTTTACGCTGGCTGTGAATTCACTCACTGTGTAGCGCAAGCTGGCTTCAAACGCACAGGGATCCTCCTACCTCCTGAGTGCTGGGCTTAGAGATGTGTGCCATCACACCTGGCCTCGGTGTAGGTTTTAAAGCAAAATTCAGGACTACCTGACCAAATTAGCAAGAATCCAAGAATTCAGCAATTTAGGATTAAAATGGAAGAATAAAGAAGAAGCAAGCTGAAATAGACTACACTGAAGCAGCAGTGGCAGAGAACTGCAGGAAGATAACATGTGAGACTGTCACATCTCATTCCCTCAACTCACCACTACACACAGACCCTTCAATAAACAGGCTCTCCAAGTACAGATACATTTTTTTTTTTTTGTCTTTTTCCTTTTCATCGGTACCAGGGATCGAACTCACAACTGCCTGCTTGCAAGGCAGGCGTTTATGCTGCTGAGCTAAATCCCCAGCCCCCCAGATACATTCTTTCCTTACCCCTAAAGCAGGCTTCCTTTTAATAAAATGTGGCAAAATATCTAAACATTTCCAAAGATATCAATTCTCTAGAATCTATCCTATTCTGTTACCTTTTAAGAATATACATAATAAAGCTGGTTGGGTCCCAGCATTCAGGAGAATGAGGCAGGAGGATTGCCATGAGTTTGAGGCCAGCCTGAACTGTATAGGGAAACCCTGCCTCAAAAACAAAAACAAAAAGCTCAGAAAAGATATCCAAGGTAGGGCATAGTGTAACAAACCTATAGTGCCAGCTACTTGGAAGACTGTGTTAGGAAGATTCCAAGTTCAAGACCAGCCTGGACAACTTAGACCCTATCGCAAAATAAAAAATAAAAGTCTGGGGATATAGCTCAGTAGTAGGGTGTCCCTGTACTCCAGCACTAGGGGAAGAAAAGCAAAACAAAACTGATAAATTGCTGGTAGAGAAAATATTTAAAATTACAAATATTTTGTGCTTTTTACGTACAGTTAATCAACCCATATGATATGAAGGAATTCTATGGTTGTTTTTGTTTCTTTGAGGCTGGGCTCACTATATAGTCCAGGCTGGCCGCTGGCCTTGCACTCAGGCTTTGAGGTTAGGCTCACTATATAGTCAGGCTGGCCTGGAACTCAGTGATCCTCTTGCCTCAGCCTCCAGAGGGCTGGGATTACAGGCTTTCTTAAATATTTCTTCCTTTCTTTCTTTTTTTTTTTTTTTTTTGTACCGGGGATGGAACTCACAACTGTGCATTTATGCCGCTGAGCTAAATCCCTAGCCCCTTTCTTAAACATTTTAAAAGAAGGAAATTAGAAACTATTATTTTTTTTTACTGATGAGGATCTGAATGTGCACATGTATGTGATCTGAAGGAAAATAAAACAAGAAAGCTTCTATGGAGAGAGGCCAATAGCCAGGAGTGATGGATCCTGCCTGAAATTCCAGCACTCTATGAAGCTGAGTCAAGAACATTCCAAGTTACAGCTTGGTCAAGTTAGCGAGATTGTGTCTTAAAGGTTAGAGACGTAGCTCAATGCAAAGGCCCTGGGTTCAGTATGTAATAACATCACCACCAGCAAAAAACAAAACAAAAAAAAGGGCCTCGGGTTCAAGTTAAGGACACTAAAGTTAAATTCCTCCATTTACAGGAAAGACACAAACGCCCCTCCAAACTGCTAAACAGGCACTTTTGAAAGAAATACTCTGGTCCAGTTCATGAATAAGTGAACAAGCAATAAAGGACCATACAGGGCTGGGGATATGGCTCAGTGATACAGTTCTTGCCTGGCCTCCACCAGGTCCTGCATGCAACCCCTAGCACCACAAAAACAACAAAACAAAAAAAGGACCATACAGACAAGAGGACCAATACACCCTATTAGTCACCATAGTCTCTCTAATGTCACATCATAGATCCTAAAGTCAGTATTTCTAAAATCTAACAAGAGAAAAGAGAACAAGAAGTCTGGAAAATATTCTATAATCCATGCTAATCCCATCAGGTATTCCAGAACTGTGATGGAATGCTCATTCTCTGTGACAGAGTTATACAACAGAAATTACCAGGAAACGGAAGAGAAAGCAGCTTTTTGATTGACAGGAAATTATTAATAAAAAGCCAAATTCTGAAACCACAGGGAGAAGTCTGTAATAACAAACATCTGTTCTGTTTGTTTTTACAATTTGAAGCTAGTGTGGATGTTTGGAGAAACCCAAATCATAATACCATCCCCAATGCTGAGAACCGGGGGAACCCGAAGGAACCCGATCTTGTGTACTTATGATGCTCAGGATCCTAAAGACAGCATGTGTTCCGCTCAACTTCCTACGGACTGCCCTCGGTTCGGTTCCGCAGTGCTTCCTACTCTAAAGCACGGCTTTAGGTCCCGCACTAGGCCACACACGAATTGCACTGGCCCACAGAAGCTCCGGTCCCCGAGGATTACCCAAAACTCCTCTTTTTCCCCTCCCAGTCGTTTGAACCCTAACTCCCAGCCCCTATGTGCACCGCAGCAACTCCGCAGCCCCTTCGGCTCCTACCAAAATCACCGCCTCCATCTTGCCCCGCAGCTGGTGCCGACGTGGAGCTACAAAAACAACGCCCCCTCTGATTGGTCCTCAGTCCTCATTAGGTCCCGCCCAACATAAGGATCATTGGATAATAACCAGTAAGCCATTGCTGTTCTGCCCAATTAGTGTACTATCTTGCTTTGTGGACTCAAGGTGTCCACCCAGCTGGCACAGGCATTTGATTGTCAGTTTAAACACTCAATAAAGCGCTAAAAGCTCACAACTGAATGGGGCGAGAGAGTTAGGGGGCGGGGCTGTTTCCATGGGGAACAGAGGAAGCGCTTGTTAATTTTCAATTGGTAGAGTCGAAGGCACGTGACATCGATGGACCGGCTGAGTAGCTTTAATCCTCACTCCCTTTAGGGGTCGCTGTGTCTCTTTAGCCTTTAACTTTTTCTGGACGAAGTTTTATCCAATCTCTATTCCCTGCTGTACCGCTAGATCTTGATACCGGCGGCTGCTGTAGCAAACAGCGAGTTCTGCTGTCAAAATTGCTCAGGTCATTACAGCATCCTCACAGAAAGTATACGCGATGGTGGAATTAGAGCCAAGGGAGGCGCAGCGCGCTACTTAATCCAAGGCTTTGGCAAACTTGGTGGTTTATCCCTGTAATCCCAGCATTCAGGAGGCTGAAGCAGAAGGATCCTCACGAGTTCAAGGCCAGCCTGGGCTACATAGTGAGTTGGAGACCAACCTGAACTACAAGCAAGAACCTACTCAAATAAATGAATAAATAAACCAAGGCCTCCAACAATTTGTGTCACACTGATAAGCTCCCCATTGTGTTGTCCCAGGCTTTGCCAGGCCCAAGGACAGGCAGGAGACCAGTGAATTTCTTTGCTTGTTTGTTCCTTTGAGACAGCGTCTCACTCTATAGTCCAAAGTGGCCTCAAACTCGCAGCAATCTTCCTGTCTCAGCATCCTGAATGCTGGGATTACAAACGTGCAGCACCACACCCAACTTCAGTAAACTTTTGATAGCATTTTTTCTTAGGCTCCTAAAATAGAATGTTAGAGTTTTGGAGACTAGAGAAGAGAGAATAGGAGGGAACAGGGCTAAAGAGATTAGAGTACGTATATTCTGCTGGCATAGGGAGTAGTAAAATCTGTGGTTTTCAGCAAGGACAAACTGTTGCAAAATGAAAAAACAAAACATAAAAAAAATAAAAAAGAGAAGTTTACTGAATGCTAGGATTTCACAATAGGGAGGAGATTTTTATGAGGTTTGGCTTTCCTCTAAGCTGGAGTTCCCCAGCACTGTATAGAATTAGTGGGGATAGCCCCTGTGGGCCCAGCTACCTGGGAGGCTAAGGCAGAAGGGTTAAGTGAGAGTTCAACATGGGCAACATAGCAAGACCCCCTTCTGCTAAAAAAGAAACAACAAAGCCGGGCATGGTGGCTCATGCCTGTAATCCCAGCACTCGGGAGGCTGAGGCAGGAGGATCGTTGCGAGTTCGAGACCAGCCTGGGCTACAAAGTGAGCTCAAGGCCAGCCTGAACTGCATAGCGAGACCCTGTCTCAAAAAGACACACACACACAAAAAAAACCCCAAAGACAGGCTTGGAGACACACACCAGTAATCTCAGCACACAGGATGCTGATGCAGGAGGATCACAGTGCATTCAAGGCCAGCCTGGCTGTACAGTGAGTGAGTTCAAGGCTAACCTGGATTACATGGTAGGACCCTGTCTCAAAGCAAAACAAAGCTATGAAGTAGATAGTTCTTTCATATATTTTACAAAAAATTGAAGCATTATCCAGGACTGATGGCACACGCTATAATCCCAGCACTTGAAAGGCTGAGGCTAGGGGCTGGGGATTTAGCTCAGCGGCATAAGCACCTGCCTTGCAAGCAGGCGGTCGTGAGTTCGATCCCCGGTACCGATAAAAACGAAAAAGACAAAAAAAAAAAAAAAAAAAGAAAGGCTGAGGCTAGAAGGTTGCTATGAGTTTTGAGGCCAGCCTGGGCTACATAGTGAGTTAAAGGTGAGACGAACTACATAGCAAGACCCTGTCTCAAAAAAAAAAAAAAAAAAAAAAAGGAAAGAAAGAGAGAAATTGGAGAAGATAAATAATTTACTTAAACCAATAGGGCTGGGGATATACCTCAGTGGCACAGTGCCTTCCCTGCTAAGTGCAAGGTCATGAGTTTGATTCCCAGTACCAAAAATAAATAAATAAAAATAAAACTATGCAACTATCAATTGGCAGCCATACATTTGAGCTCAGGAGATCTGGTTTCCAAACCATGTTCCTGCCCACGGTTGCTCTTGTGCTTGGCCATACAGTTTCTTGTGTCCCATTCCTGCCTAAAAGGACACTATGCCAGAGGAACGGGTTTTCTACCGTGACTCCCAGCAGGAAAAATGTGATGTGATTGTTAGCAGAGTGCTTGATGACTGACAATTTTTGTAGAGAAGGTGGGGTGAGACAGGATCTCACTGAGTAGTTTGAACTAGACTTGAACTCACTCGTGTACACCAGGCTGGCCTCAAAATCCTGCAGTCTTCCTGCCTCAGCCTCCTGGGTGCTAGAACTACAAACATGTGCCACCATCCCTGCCTAGTGGGAATTTTTCAGTGTCTTCTTTTTTTTTTCTAAGTGTTTCGAAGGTAAAGGCAGCTGTGAGTGGTGGCCCCTGACCCAGCACACTAGGAGGCTGAGGCATTAAGACCACAAATTTGAAGGACAATTTAGCAAGAACTTATCAAACAGAGGCTGGGGATCAAGCGCATGGTTGTGAGTTCGATCCCCAGTACTGATTAAAAAAAAGAACTTACCAAATAAAAAGAACATAGGGTAGGGGCTGGGGATTTAGCTCAGCGGCATAAGCACCTGCCTTGCAAGTAGGCGGTCGCAGTCACAAGTTTGATCCCCAGTACTGAAAAAAAGGAAAAGAACAAAACAATAAATAAATAAATAAATAAATACAAGAATATGGGGAAGGAGAAATAAAATAAAGTGGCATAAGCCTACCGAGTGTGAGTCCTGAGTTTGATTCCTGGTACCCAAATAAATAGTTTAGGGGGGAAAATAGATTTTTGGTTGTGTTGTTTTGATTTGGTTTTTTTTCTGTAGTGCCTGGGAATTGAACCCAGGACCTTGCACATGCTAGGCAAAGGCTCCACTGAGGCACATCTCCAGCCCAATTTTTTTGTTTGTTTGTTTGTTTGATTGGTTTGTCTGTTTGCTTATTTTTCAGTACTGGGATATCCAACCCAGGGGCTCTCTACCACTGAGCTACATCCCCAACCTTTTTTATTTTTTTATTTTGGGACAGGGTTTCACTACATTTCACAGACAGGACTCCAACTTGCAATTTCCTGCTTTGGCTGTGCTGGGTACTGGGATTATAGGTATGCAACACTGTGCACAGCATCAAAGCTATTTATTAATTTATTTATTATTTATTTGCAGTACAGAACATTAAACCCAGAGTTTTTGCACAGAAATACATTCCCAGATCTTTGTTTGATGTTTGTTTTTGAGACAGGGCCTTGCTAAATTCATAATTTGCAGACTGGGCTCCAATTTATGGTTCGCCTACTTTTAACCTCCCAGAGTGCTGACACTGCACACATGCACCATCACACCCAACTCCAAAGTTTTTATTTTTGTTTCTTTGTTTTGGAGGTTGATTGTTTTTTATTTTTTTATATATTTTTTTGTCTTTTTCGTTTTTTTATCAGTACCAGGGATTGAACTCACGACTGCCTACTTGCAAGGCAGGCACTTATGCCGCTGAGCTAAATCCCCAGCCCCTGTTTGATTGTTTTTTGAGTTAGGATCTTGCTATGTAGTTCAAGCTGGCCTTGAACACATTGTGTAACCTGGACTGGCCTTGAATTTGTAGTAATCCTGCCTTGGCCTTCCAAGTACTGAGATTATAGGCATAAGTCACCATGCTTGGCTCCTCAACTCTTTTTTATCTTGAGACAAGGTCCGATTAAATTGTTAAATTGAAAAAAAATTGTTAAATTGCCCAGTGTAGGCTCTAACTTCTGATCCTCTTGCCTTATCTTCCCAGAGTTGTAAGACTATAGGCAGTGGGGGCTGGGGATTTAGCTCAGCGGCATAAGTGCTTCCCTTGCAAGCACAGGTCATGAGTTCGATCTCCGCTACCAAAAAATGTATTATTCCCTAGTAGAAATCTTTTGTTTTAAGTTTTGTTTTGTTTTGTTTTTTGGTACTGGGGATTGAATTTATGACTTAGTACTTGCCAGGTAGGCGGTTGTGCTGCTGAGTCAAATTCCTGACCTCTCTTTTAACCATTTTTAAAATTCTAGCTCAAAGGTATTAATTATATTTTCATGCTTATACAGTCATCACCATGATGTATTTCCAGAATTTATTCATAATCCCAAAGCCTTTAGCCATTAAACCTTAATTTTTCATTCTCCTCTCCCTCTGCCTTTCAGACTCTGGATTTCATTGTATATTTTGGATCACTTTCCCTTTGCCCCTGGTTTATTTCTGTTTTTTACCCCCTGGGTTGGGAATTGAAATCAGGGCCATTCCTGAGTAGTTTATGTTGTATGCTTCTACTTTTTCTTTTTTTTTTTTTTTTTGTCTTTTTCCTTTTTATCGGTACCAGGGATCGAACTCACGACTGCCTGCTTGCAAGGCAGGCGCTTATGCCGCTGAGCTAAATCCCCAGCCCCTACTTTTTCTTTTATTTAAAAAAAAAAGCAAAAATAAAAAATAAATGTAAGACTAGTGGCTGGGGGTTTAGCTAAGTGGTACAATTCCTGCCTCCTATGTGTGAAGTCCTGGGTTTGATCCCCAGCACCAGTAAGAAAAAAAGGAAGGCTATCATGTTAAACTATGTTTGTAAATATTTCTATTCTATGTATTCACTCAACAAAATCTTTTTTTTTTCCAATTTTTTTTTGTTTGTTTGTTTTTGAGGCAGGGTCTCACCATGTAGTTCAGGCCTGTCCTTGACCTCATAGTGATTCTCCTGCCTCACCCTCCTGAGAGCTGAGAGGATAGGGGTACACCACCACATTGGACAACAAGGTCTTATTAACATGCCAACATGAAAAAAATAAAAAGAAAAAAATGCCAACATGGTCAGGCATG